TCCAGGCAGCAGCCAAGGCCTCCGCTGGACCATGCAGCAGATCCGTGGGAATATCCCCCAGATCCTCCTGAAACCCTGACGGGTCCATCAGGCGCCGGGGGCGGACCAGTCGCATGGGTCCAACCTCCCTGCAGAGGGGGATGGTATAGGAGAAACTCAGGGTCTTTATTTATGACTGCATAATTTAGCAATGGCAATCCCAGTCCCAATTGCTGTTGTAACAAAAGTACTACCTGTAAGTTTTAACTTCCAGGCCCCCTGTCATCCTGGTGGTTTTCCTCAGGATATGTTCCTACTTGTTATATTGAACTTGTTTGTTGGTGGTTGGGCCTGTTTCTTGTTGACTTCCGTCCATTTGCTATTTCAAACATATAAAACAATACTTTTTCCTTGATGTATATTACATAGCAGGATAAATAATAAAGCATATATTTTATAGGTATCTGAAGGTAAATTAAATGATCACTTTCCTTTGGTGGTATGGCAAACTGGATCTGGAACTCAGACTAACATGAATGTTAATGAAGTCATCAGCAACAGAGCCATTGAGATACTGGGAGGTAAACTGGGGAGCAAGGACCCAGTACATCCTAATGACCATGTTAATAAAAGCCAGGTCAATATATTCTTCCTTTTTTCCCTTCTTTTTCTACATTAGCATGTATCTCTGAATTAGTCACAGTATTTATTAAATAGATGTTACATAGCTGGGGATAAAATATTCAGTGTCTCAACATATCTGTGTATGTGTAAACTTCAGTGTATGGCCTGCTGCAGTTCTACAACAAATTATATTTGAACAAAATAACTATTGTATTCTTATATTTAATCATGTTTGGGGTAATGAAATTATATTGCTGCATAAAAATATTTAACTATGGGATCTGATTGACAGAGAACTAACTTCCCAGTACTGAATTTATAGCTTTTCCTATTAATACCTATCTGGAACTGTTTCTCAGATGCTGTATATTGTGTGTCAGCTTGGGATAGTGCTAATTATTATTATTGGTTTGAATGCATCATACATGATAGTGATTGGGAAGGTGGGAGGTTTTCCTAATTGTTTACATATAGTTTAACATGTTATCAAGAACCCCATTCTTACTGAACTTAGGGACTAGTAATCAGTAATGTTAAAATCAGCAACATAGCTTCCCGCTATTTTAAGGCAAGTAGTATAAGCCCTAGAACAGCTTTACCATTGCATCATGACCCTGCCACTGTGTCTCCCCACTACCCCTCAAATGTGTAAGTCTTTTCCTCAACCCTACTTCCCCATTTAGTTGATGGTCATGAGAGAAATGTTCAGATAATAATTTGCTGTTTTTGAATGTTAAAAGAGCTCAAATGATACATTTCCCACTGCAATGCATATTGCTGCTGCATTGGAAGTTCATGAAGTGCTGTTACCAGGGCTACAGAAGCTTCAAGATGCCCTTGATGCCAAGGCAAAAGAGTTTTCTGAAATTATTAAAATTGGACGTACTCATACACAGGATGCAGTTCCTCTTACTCTTGGCCAGGTACAAATCATTTTACAGTTTCAAACAATGAAAAAATACTAATTTCTTGTGAGGAAATTCTATGCATACAATAGCTTTTTGCTAATTAAAAAGTAATGGGCGGCTCATTTTAAATATTTGTCACATTAAATAAAAGAAATGCTATGAAATTCCTCATATTTCTTCTTACTTTTGCTAAGGAATTCAGCGCTTATGTGCAACAAGTCAAATATGGCATCGCAAGGATCAAATCAGTCATGCCAAGAGTCTATGAACTGGCAGCTGGTGGCACTGCAGTTGGCACAGGACTGAATACGAGAATTGGTTTTGCTGAGAAGGTTGCATCTAAAATAGCTGCACTTACAAGTAAGAAAAAACATGAAAAATAATCTTGATGAGTTGGTCTCAACTTGCTAGTAGAAAAATGGAAAAAATGGAAAATAAGACGAAAATTAAGTTGCTTTCTAGAGCCTTTTTGTTTTCATTCACTAAGCTTTGTAAACTGTAGAAGTAGCAAACATTATCAGTGCCTCTATTAGCTTAATTGTCAAAGCTAGAAATGTGTCATGGTCCATTCTCACTCAAACTCACTCAAATTCAGGAAGCCAACTGGAGAAAACTCCACCCTCAGGTCTGGGAAGGCAGTTTTTCTTATTTTCTGCAGGAAGCAGAAGGGCATTGCTCTTTAAATCAAGGAGTGTATAAAATCTAACAAACATTGGTAGACTGGATTCCTCCACAGAATCACTGTGGGTGGCAGTCTCTGGCTCTAAATGTGAAATAGAACAAGAAATATGCTATTGCTTATCTGATCAAAATACTGAAGGTTATCCTGAAATGGAAAATACATCAAAGAGGCAAGTAAAGGGAAACTTCAAGTACCCTTCCACAGACTAGTACATTAATGATCAAGCCATGATATGGACAGCAACTTTGTAGATACCCCTATTAACTATGCCTTAGAATTGTTGGTCTTGGAATAGAGTCCTAAATAGTGACCACAATTCTGTGCCAGAGCAACTATTGTGAAATCAGTAAGAAAAATAACTAAAATGGTATTATATTTAGAATTTATGCAAATAAGAAACTGCAAATAGAGACCAATGCAGCCACATTTGATTACAAATGAGAAACTTCTAAAAAATGAAGGGAATGTTGAAAAAGAGACTGAAAGAAAATATCAGGAGTGCCAAATCTCTCTGTAATGTCTGGAGCTTATTGACAACTACAGTAATTGAGGTTTTCAGCTAAATTAATTCTATAATGTAAGAAAATTTAATGTAAGAAAGGTCACCATGGCTCACTAGCAGTGTCCAGGAAGTTTTAAAAATTAAGGTTCCCTTCAGGCAATGCAAAGCTTTTTGTAACATGGAGAATAATGAAGGGCACGAACTCTGGCAGAAAAAGTGTAAGATGATAACAAGAAATGATTTAAAAAAAGAATCTGAGATGGACAAAATGTAAGTGGAACAGTTAAGAACTTCTTTAAATATTTTTTTAATATTTTGGTCATAGACCAACATATTCTTTAAATATATTAAATATAAATATAAAGCAGAAAACTAGCCAGTTAGATAACAAAGGGATGCGAAGAAGGATACAGAGATTGCAGAGAAACTGAATGAATTCTTTGCATCTTTACTGCAAATGATCTAGGACAGACATTTTGGCCTGTACTTTCTTTCTCAGGAAGGGATTCGAAACAACTAAAACCTATCCAAGAGTTCTTAAAGAACTGAGATATGAAATTCTGACCCAGTAAAAATATATAACCCCATCCCTCAGATCAGGTTGTGTCAGAATATTTGAAGGAAGACAATGTGGCACCCATTTTTAAAAAGGGACCCAGGCAAAGTCCAAGAAATTACACTGTGTGCACAATTATTAGGCAAGTGATTATTTTGACCATATCAC